GGAGGTCTGAGGCGAAAGCAGCAATTTAAACTGGTTACTGTGTTTCTCATACTGTTATTGAACCCTTTCTACCTTTTAGCAGGAGCTCTATGATCCAGGAGGAGGTCAGATTAATCAGGACACACTGCCTCTATGAAAAGGTGTTAAAGTAGATGATGAAAGTACTATGCACATGGACAGCAGAATGTTACTGATACCATCACACTGCCTCCAAACACAGCCATCCCCGTGAGCTTGAATCATCTGGCCAGATCACCCTCTTCCATTGATCTCTGTTATTTCTTTCAGTAAAGAATTAAAGTTAGCTTAGCTAGAAGGTGTCCTACTCCACCTCTGCTTCTGATTTGCAGAGTCCAATGTCCTTGACACATACACACCTGTAATGCATTTAAACTACCTAACAGAAAATTGTACCTTTCTGTTTTCTCTCCCTCCGTTATTTATGATGTACCTGGCGCGTTCCAAAGAAAAATCAAAGATCTGCAGGTCAACTGTAAGTCATTCTGATGTGCCATGTCTACATTGCCCTGCAGTTTTAAATGCATTGCTGCCCATTCTGCAGAGGATTCATTTGCATGGGAGAGTTGGTTTTTAATCTGCAGTGCTGAATAGTTGAGAGCATGACCCTTACAGGTTGTCAAACCATTAAATAGTTATCGTCACACATTTATTTTCTCTAAAGGATAGTTTAGTAATGAATTATTGTCATGATATGAGGACATCCTTTTCTGGGAGGAAATTTGGAGCACTCCGAGCACATATTTAACAAACATATACAATATAACAACATATACAACATATACAATATATATATACAATATATTTATATATATCACCATTGAACCCATCAGCCTTTAATCTGTAACGGTATTCTGTTAACGTCCCACCACTGACACTGATAGCCATGTTGGATGTTTCACCCACTTTACATTTATTTTTTAGACAGAGATTTAGAGTTAACTGCTTATCAAAAACCTGGAACACCTTTAATGAGGGGCTCCTCTGATGTTTCACCAGACCAGTCTGTGGTGCACCAACATCACATGGCCAGTGTTTGGCGCTGGCCAATTGATGAAGTTGAAAAATTGGTGTCAGTGATTAGTGTAAACATCTACAGAAAGTCTCTGAAATGTTAACCACTATATCTCAAAGACGCAAATGGACATTTCTTTCTTTCTTTGTATTTCAGTGACTCAGCTGAGGTTGGTTCTGATGGGGAACAGTTGGTCTTCCAGAAGTTTGCTTGGAAACTTTCTTCTGGGACAAAGCAGGTTTGACACGGAGGCAGAACCAAAATCATGCCAGAGTTTCAGAGGAAGGTTGATGGGGAAAGACCTGGTCGTCATAAACACCCCGAATCTACTGGTCAACATCTCCCGGTACAAACTTATAGAACACATAGAAGACTTCATGAGGCGTTCTGCCCCTGGCCCTAATTTGTTTCTGCTTGTTCTACAACCTGAACACTTTGTGGAGGAACAAAAAGACAGGCTCTGCAGAATCCTTGAATATGTCAGTGATCGATCCTTTGACCACTCACTGGTTCTAATAACACCTAAAGATGTTCCTGGAGATAAATACATCAGTCTGACACCCTTAAATGCCATGGTGAAGGAGTGCAGAGGTGAGTTTCTGTGGAAGAGGTCTACTGAACTGTCAGAGCTCCTGGTTTTTTTGGAGAAAACTCTGAGAGAGAATGAAGGACAACATGTCAGCTGTGACAAATTCCAGGAGCCTACATCATCTTATCCCCAGGCTGCTGGTGAGTGTTTTTGGCGTTGCTTGCTAAATTGAGCAAGCCTCATTATAAATGTTTCCTTTTGAGTGCATAGGGAGTTCAGAACCTCAAAGTTTGGCTCAGATTTAAAGTTGATAGCAACACATTTAAGTTTTCCTGGCCAGGGAGTGGCACATTTGCAGTGTGCCAGTCACCCGCTCCTGTTTTCTTCTGTTTTACAGTCCACTATGACTAATACCAATTCTAATGTTCATTAGCATTAGCAAACCTTTAAACCATCCACATTATAAAGGTGGAAAAAGAAGATTATTTATTTTGACTGAAGCTAACCTTGGTTTTTGGCTGGAATCTAAAAAATGTAATGCTGATGCAAAAAGCTAATTCTCAGTTCAATCACAGCTAGCCAGACTGGCTTACTCACACTTAAGTTGGTTTAATTAGGCTCAGAGTGAGCAGTCTAAAACTTACACTACTAATTACAGCAGTTTATGCTTCTGCCAGAACCAAAACCTTTTCTGTGACCATGACAGTCTATATTGCAACTGCAGCAAAGAAGCAAAGATTTAATGTTACCGTTCATTATGTCCAAAATAACCAACTGCTGTGAGCATTTTTTCTTTATTAAAAAAATACTTTTTTTCATGACATCAATTGTTATCAATTTGGCACCTACCCGTTTCGGTTGACATGCCCTGGTCCTGTCTTGGAAATAGGTGTACTGCTGATAAAAAAAACTTGAAGTAGTTTAAGTAACCATTATATAATATAGTGTGAATGGGAGTGTGCATGTGATTGGTTTTTTGTGTTGTTTATTTAAGAGCGGGTTTGGTTTTTCATGGCACCCCCATTCTCATTCCCAATTGAGTTGAATTAGAGGAACTGTGGATCCAGAGCAGGAGCAGGGGAAAAGGTGGGAGATATTCAGTCTTTTCCATTAGTTAGTATTGGCAATGTGAGATCTTTATGAAACAAGTTAGAACTCCAGTCTCTCTCCCCCAAGCTTTCTGATGATAATAGAGAACATACATCTAAAGAAGGCTAGAAAACAGAAGTTAGGTCGATTAGCAGTCCTTTTGAACAATAGATTGTTTCATCTGGGGTATGTTAATGTGACGTTTGTGTCCAAAACCCAGATATTGAACTCATGACAGTTAGTCCGTAATATATTATATATTACTTTTGGTAATAGTTTACGTTCCACTTTCTGCTGTTGCTGACACTGTATATAGTTTCATCAGATTTCATTTTTGCTAAGTTACAAACACAACAATCAAATATATTTGTGGCAGTAAATTGTGATTTTAATCATACCTCAGCTCCTGTTACACTTTCAACATTCCACCAGTTTGTCAGGTCCTGTCAAAGGTAACCAAAAACTCATGTTGGTCCCTGTGAGCAAGCAGTTAAGCAGTTATCAGAACCCTCTGCAGTCTGCTTAACACTGTGGAGTTTGAGATAAAGTTGCCATCATAAACCTGCTACAATAAACCTCCTGTTATTTAGACCAATTAGACATCATTGTAAGGAACATGTGCGTTGATCTCTCAAATGCATTTAACACAATTCAGTCTGATTTGCTTGGTCACAAAAAACAGGAGATTGAGGTGGAAACCTTAGCAATGACCTGGACAAAAGCTGTAAAACAGATCATCATTTTTAAGACTCGAGGCACTTTGCAGTTCACCAGATCAAACAGTCAAATTGATTCAAAGTTTTCTATCTAAGGAAAACCAGTTGATTACATTGACTCATTGACTCGAAGAAAATCCATCACACTAAGCATGCTTGTACTGACAGTGGAGAGGAAAAGAGAGCACATCCAGCTAATCACAGTCAGAGAAAAAGGCCTACAGTGAAAAACAGGCTGATCTCTAACATCTATTAATAAAGATGTTGATGGCAGCAGCACAGCTGATATTTCTCTCCAGGATGGAGTCACAGCCAAACAGGAACAGACCAGATGAAGCTACTATGAGAAAAAGCAGAGAGAGCAGAACATGAGAGATTGAACTAACAGATTCTGCAGAGTGGGAGAATAGAGACAGAATGAAGCAGAATGATGAAACAGGGGTGCCTATGTCCTCCAGCAGTCTAAGCCTATAGCAGCATAACTATAGAGATAGCTCAGGATAAACTGAGCCACTCTAACTATAAGCTCTATCAAAAAGGAAAGTTTTAAGCCTAGCCTTAAAAGTAGACAGGGAGTCTGCCTCAGGGACTAAAACTGGTAGTTGGTTCCACAGGAGAGGAGCCTGATAACTAAAAGATCTGCCTGCCATTCTACTTTTAGAAATTCTAGGAACCACTGGTAAACCTGCAGATTGAGAGTGAAGTGCTCTGTTAGGAACATAAGGAACAATCAGATCTCTGATACAAGATTGAGCTTGGCCATTTAAGGCTTTATATGTGAGAAGGAGGATTTTAAATTCTATTCTGGATTTAATAGGAAGCCAATGAAGAGAAGCTAGAATGATAGAGATATTTCTATTATTCATTTTCGTCAGAACTCTGGCTGCAGCATTTTGGATCAGCTGAAGGCTTTTAACTATGGTTTGTGGACTTCCTGATAGTAAAGAATCACAATAGTCAGTAACAAATGCATGGACGAGTTTCTGAGCATTACCCCTGGACAGGATATTTCTAATTTTTGCAATATTTCGCACATGAAAGACTGGAAACCTCTTTGATATGGGATATAAATGACAGGTCCTGATCAAAAATAACACTGAGATTTTTTCTTAGATCACTTTAATCCAATCCAAATAAAATGACTGATTAATCAGCTTTTTTTCAAAGACTCTGGTAAAAGACTATGATTTCTGCTTTGTTTGCATTCAGGAGCAGAAGTCATCCAGATTTCTATATGATATGCCTGCATGTTATGGTTTAGCTTCATCTGGATTTATAGACAGACATATCTGAGTATCATCAGCATACCAGTGGAAATTAATCCCAAGTGAAACAGAGATGGAAAACAAGATCAACCAGTTAAATTCTTAACACTGTTTTAATAAGCACCTCTTTCCGTATTGGCACCATCAGTGCTGAGGAAACAAATGTTAAATACTATACAGTCGTATTTTTCAACACTTTCTGGTAATGTTAAATTATTTTGACTAACTGATTAGATATGATAGCACGGCTGTTAAACTTCTTTAGTGTTAACATAAAGATTATTTTTTTCTCGTTCTGTTTCAGGTTCTGCCTTCAGAATAGTTCTGTTTGGAAAGAGTGAAGAGAACAAGACAAAACTTGGGAACTTCATGATTGGTGGCAGTGGGGATCATTTCCAGAGAAACTCTGCTTCCAATAAGTGTGCAGTCATTAATGGGGAGTGGAAAGGATATTCACTCACTGTAGTTAAAACCCCAAACTTCTTTAGTATGTCTAAGAAAACAATCAAAGCAGAAATGAGGAAATGTGTGAGCATCTGTGAGCCTGGACCAAATGTTCTTCTGCTGTTAGTGAAACCTTCATCATTCACACAAAGCAAGCGGCAAACCCTCACATCCATCCTCAGTTTGTTGGGACCAGAACCTCTGAGGCACTCGTTGGTCGTTAAGACCCATGACCTGATTGAATCTCAGGCAGTCAAACAGCTCATTAGAGACTGTGATGACCGACTGTACAACATGTATGAAAATGACCAGAAAATGATCATGAAGAAGGTTAAAGCAACAGTGCATAAAAACAAGGGAGCCTACCTCACCACCACTGAAGACAACATGGAACCAGAAGCTGTATTTAATAAGCCCGTATTAAACCTGGTTCTGTTAGGGAGTAGACTAGCAGAGAAAGCTTCAGTAGCCAAGGCCATTCTAGGTCAGAAAGAGCTTCATTTGGCCTCTAATCCATCAGACATCATCATGAATCAGGAGGATGTGTTTGGGTGTTGGGTTTCTGTTCTGGAGATGCCTTCCCTGTATGGAAAATCTCATGAGGAGGTGATGCAGGAATCCTTTAAGTGTATCTCTCTCTTTGATCCTGAGGGTGTCCATGCCTTCATCTTGGTCCTACCTGTGGGTCCCCTCACTGATGAAGACAAGGGCGAGTTACAGACCATCCAGGACACATTCGGCTCTAGAGTCAATGATTTCACCATGATCCTGTTCACTGTAGAGTCAGATCCTACAGCTCCAGCCATCATTGACTTCATCAGAGAAAGTAGAAGTGGCCCGGAGCTCTGTCAGAGCTGTGGAGGAAGATATTTTGTTCTGAACATTAAGGACCAGCAGCAGATCCCAGAACTATTGAGTGTCGTAGAAAAAAGCAGAACATATATGGACAACCAACGCTCCTACACAACCAAAACACATGCCAACGCTCAAGCAGAAAAAGTCTCAGAAAAAGAGAAAAACATTGAGCACCTGAAGAAAGCACTTCAGGACCTCAAGTGCAAGAACGTCGCTCCTAGTAAGTGGGACTGAGATGGAGAAAAAAATACACCCTGTTTAAAACATTATAATTTACATAATAATCCAATTACTATGGTTAATCTTAACCTCAAGAGTAAAAAATCTCAAATTTTTATCTATCCATTTATCAACGGTGAAATCTCTGTTAAGAGAGCGTCAGGCAATTGTCACCTGTGTTGTAAAACCTCCTTCAGCAGTTTGTAGAACCTCCAGCAGCTCTCAACTCTTTTAAGTTGCCAGACCAGGATTATTTGGACTGTCCTGCCTTGACTTGCCAGCTGATGCCTGTATAATCACAGATAAAGGTCTTGGACTTGTCATTTATCTAAACTTCAAGCTCAGACCTAGCATTGCTGATGTCTTTAAGCTTGCTGTTGGGTTATTCAGTTGCACACATCTAGGAAAATAGTTGCTACAATACTGCCAAGCAGTTTCTCAAAATCAATTCAATTCAGTTTATTTATATAGCGCCAATTCACAACATATGTCATCTCAAGGCACTTTACAGAGACAATTCAACCAGATCATCCAGTCAGACTGGGCTAATGTTTTCTATCTAAGGAAAACCAGTTGGTTGCATCAACTCATTGACTCGACAGCAATCCCTAACACCAAGCATGCTTGTAGGGACAGCGTAAAGGAACACTCCCATTTAACAGAGAAGAAACCTCCAGGCTCAAAGCTGATTCATCCGTCAAACTAGGTCGTCGCAGACAGGAGGCCTCTGATTGGTCAGATCTACATCCGCTTTACTCATGCGTATTTTCTGTTTGGTACCTTACCGGCTTGTTTTGTTTGTATGACTGCCATTCTGAAAAAGACTTTTGAATTTGGACCAGCTAGGAGAGCGAGGTGCGCGAGAATGCTGGGACCCTTTTTCCACCTGGATACCCGCTGCCCACTGCTCGGCGGTATCTAGACCCACAAATAGTTTGTGATTGTCCCTCTTACGTTGTGGCATGGAATAACAGAGTGCAGACCATGCGTAAATATTAAGCATATATCAAAAGTGTCTGTGTCATACCTGCAACAAGCTCACTGAGACACACTTAACCAGCCTTAAAGTGTGAGCAGCCATCTGCTGAGGCTGAGTGGGGTTCAAGGAGACAGAAGCAGACAGTCAGTTATCATCAGTTCAGAACCACAACCAAAAAAAAAAAAAAAAACTTAAAAAATATTTAACTGTTTTATCTTGAATTAAGCCATTATTTTTGACTTAACACAACCTTAAGGTAATAAATGGAAAAGAATGTCTGATAGCCAACTGCCTGATGTGATGGCTGACCTTGGTCTAGTGTTTCTCAATGCTTTTCTCTCAGAGCAATGAAAGTAATCAGCTTTTCACGTCCATACACCTTATATACTATATATATGTCAGAGTCTGGCCTGCAGAAGCTCAGACAGCCTGGTTCAAGCAGCTAATCTTAATTTCATACAAATCTTTTAACTGAGATAGAGTGAATTTTCTTTCTCTTCCATAACTTTAAATGAAATCAGGATCTTTTCTGATACAAGCCAACAGATTTGGCAAGACTTCTGGGTTGATGTCCAAACCTTTCCAGAAAAACTGAGTGAAAGTCTGGTTGCCTCTGATTTAAATCCTATGTTGTGTTTGCCATGACCGACTATTTGCATGGGCCTTAAATACTCTGACTTTTAAACATTTATTAAAAATTAAGTTCTTTGTTTTTCCCTTTAGGTGTTGATTTGCAGCCAATCCCTGACAGTCTCAGGATTGTCCTGATAGGGAAGACTGGCTGTGGGAAAAGCTCCTCTGGAAACACCATTCTGGGAAGAGAGGAATTCAAAGCAGAAGCTCTTCAAAAGTCCGTCACCAAACGCTGCCAGAAAGCTCAGAGTGAAGTGGCTGGTCGCACAATCACTGTGGTCGATACTCCTGGACTGTTTGACACCAGCCTGTCTAACGAGGAAGTCAATGAGGAGATGACCAAGTGCATTAGTCTTCTGGCTCCAGGACCACATGTCTTCCTTCTGGTGTTATCGATCGGCAGGTTTACTGCAGAGGAGAAGGACACATTAAGATTGGTTACAAGGGTCTTTGGAAAGACTTCTGAGAAATTCACCATCATCCTCTTTACTAAAGGAGACTCATTAGCTCATCATTCAATATCAGTAGAAGAGTACATTGAGAAAGGGGAGGATTTCATTAAGAATCTAATTGAGGATTGTGGAGGAAGATACCATGTGCTTAATAACTATGACAAAGAAAACAAACAGCAGGTTTCCGAACTGATTGAAAAGATTGAGAAGATCGTGGAGATAAATGGTGGTGGTTGTTTCACTAATGAGATGCTGAGGGAAGCAGAGGAAGCAATCCAGAAAGAGATGGAGAAAATACTGAAAGATAAGGAGGGGGAGATGCAAAGAGAGCTGCAAAAACTCAAGGAGGAACGGGACAAAGAAGTAAACAACATGCAAGAAAGAATGCAGGAACAAAAAGCAGAACTAGTAAAAGAGAAAGAAGATAAATTAAAACAACTGGAACAGATGAAGTTTAAAATCATCAGTGAGAGTGAAAAGATTAGGAGAGAAAAGGAAATAAGAGAAGAAGAAGATAGGAAGAAGATACAAGAGGAGGAGATTGAGCGGCTGGAGTGTGAAGAGAAGCTGAAGGAGTTAGAGGAAAAAATAAATTCCACAACAGATCTGGAGAAGAAGAGTTTACTGGAACAACTCAAAGAAAGTTTAAGAAAAGAGCAAGAGAACAGAAAGAAAGAACAAAAAGAATACTGGGAGCGACGTAGGAAAGAGAAGGAAAACAAACGCAAAACTGCTGAATTAAAACTCAAACAACTGGAAATGGAGTATGAGCAGACCAAAGAGACATTTGAACAGCAGTTTAAAAATGAGAATGAAAAACTCAGAGGGGTAGAGGAAACATACCAGAAGAAAACAAAAGAGATAAAAAAGAAGTTTAAAGAGCATGCTAGAGAACAAGCTGAAGTCTACAATGAGTTCAGAGAGAAATACAGCACAAACTTTGCAGGTCTGTTGGAAGAACACAGAGAGGAAATACAGAGCCTGGAGCGGAAACATGAGAGGGAGATCCAGGAGACAGAAAAGAAGCTGGAAAAGGAATATAAACTGCTGGACAACCTGCAAAATTACAAAGAAATACAACTGAAAGAAGAACTGGAACAAAAAGAGAAACAGCTTAAAGAAATCGAACATTTAAAAAACAAACAGGAACAAGAGTTAAAAAAGATGAAAGAAAAATACAAGAATAGGTGTCTGATCGCCTGAGAGTTTCAATTACAACCTAAAGATTTGTTTGACACTTAAGTCTCACAGCAATCTGCACAGCAGGGCTCTGCCATTATTTGGAGGCATGCGCTCAACACCTATTAGCTCTAGTTTTATATCAGTGTTCTTTTCCTGCGTCCACTCTCCAAATTGACCCAAAGCTTTGATCATCCATCCATCCATCCATCCATCCATCCATCCATCCATCCATCCATCCATCCATCCATCCATCCATCCATCCATCCATCCATCCATCCATCCATCCATCCATCCATCCATCCATCCATCCATCCATCCATCCATCCATCCATCCATCCATCCATCCATCCATCCATTTTCCATCACACTTATCCCAAGCTGGGTCGCGAGGGATGCTGGTGCCTATCTCCAGCTCTCAATGGGTGAGAGGCGGGGTAGACCCTGGACAGGTTGCCAGTCCATTGCAGGGCAACAGAAGAGACAAACAGCCATTCACACACACTCACACCTAAGGACAATTTAGAGAAGCCACTTGACCTAACAGTCATGTTTTTGGACTGTGGGAGGAAGCCGGAGTACCTGGAGAGAAGCTTTGATCATTCATGCATACATTGCTGTGGTAGATTGAGTTATTAATGCTTAACTCACTTTGATTTATGTTGCATCATATTATGAATATTATGATTGTTTACAGAAACGATCTACATATTGCTAATATCAACATTCAGAATTTTAGCCTGTTCTTTAGTTTTATGTTGAACGATTTTTATTTTTGGCTATTACATATTCTTTTAAGTAGTTTGTGACTGTTCTAGTTAGCTAAAGAAATTGCTGGACAGAATAGTTTGATTGTAAGAGTGAATTATTGGGTTTAATCAATTAAACCATAATAGATACATGCTTGTCCTTGTTTTTATGATAATCAATTTTACATTAAAATAATCAATATTGACTAGAAGTCAGTGATCAAAATATCCCCTTAGAGTCAATGGTTTTATGATATTTTAAGGAATAGAAATGTCATCAAAATTTATTCTTTATACACTGTATACAAAATGACAATAAAAGTTGTCTAAGCATAAGTACAGTGACATTTAGTGTGATTCTTTTTTTTTTATTCCAGTTATTAATCATAGTTATTAAGGATAATAGCTTAAAGATCAACGATAGTTCTTCAAGTCATAGCTACAATCTTTTCATCAAAACAATATATTATTCAAAAGAAGGTTAACAGAACTTGTATAAATATGTAGAATAAAAGTACTCATTATGCTGACACAAAATAGGATATTTCTTTTTTTCATAAATTTTGAGAGGTTGAAAATATAATAATTATCACTGTTAGTTGATTCTGTGGCAATAAGCATGGCAATAAGCATAGTAGGTTGAAGTCACATGAAGCAGATCTCAGGCATTGCTAGATCTTAGAAACTGTGACAGAGCTCAAAAGCTGAATATTGTTCAGGTTTTTGAGCATTATTGTTGATTTAAGAGGCTCAGAAGACAAATAAAGTTTGTTGCTTTTCTTATAAACAAGGAATCTAAGTAGCAACCCATAACCTGATGGCAAACAGAATGTAATAACTGCAGCTAAGGGTGAGTGCACCACTCATTGGCCCAAAGAACTTAAGTTTCACCTTTATCACTGATTAGTAATTAAAGAAATGCAAGTCCTCAACATGTTTGATTCCAATCATTCCGGGTCATTTTTGTTAATGATTCATTATTGACTCTAACTGTTAAGTATTATTGTGATATGCAAGTAGCCCAGTACTCACAATCCTCCACTGTGCTTAAAATATGATTTGTGGTGGACTTTGAAAATAGAATGGTAATTAATTCAATTCCATTCATTTTATTTAAATAAAGCCATCAGCAACACATGTCATCTCATGGCTCTTTACAGAAACCGTTTAATCAAACCATCCGGACAGGTTTTTTATTTTTCTAAAGGTTTTCTACCTTCAATCCAACTGATTGCATTGAGTCATTGACTTTGCATGAGTCACTCTTGCATGACTTGACCAGACTGAAGATGCATGCATTGACATCAGAGAGGAAAACTTCCATTGTAACAGTAAGATACCCCTAGCAGAACCTGGAACAATGTGAGTAGCCTTCTGTCTAGGCTGACTTGTAGCTAAAGAAAACAGAAGTATCCGACAAAGGTTACACATAAGCACTGAGTCAGGGTTGGTGAATGAAGTTGTGGACCCAAATGCAGAGTAGAATGAGCAGGGAACTTTGCTTGCAAAATTAAATGAAAAAGTAAAAATAATAAATGCAAAATACAGAACTGAACGACAAAGAAACTTAAGAACCAAAAACTTGGAGACACTAGGGAGGAATAAACCTAAATAATGACGAGAATCCAGCAATGAGTAATTAAACAGGAGGTGTTTATATGGTAGACAGAAACAATGGGAGGACTAATTAGCTGATAGACAGCAGGTGTAGACAGAAGTAACTAGAAGGAACTAAGGGAAAGGAGACTGGGACACGGGGGCACAGAGATTACTCAAAAAAATACAACGCTGTTTAAATATAACACAAAATGAAGGAGAATTTAGAGCAGCCAATTAACCTAACAGTCATGTTTTTGGATGGTGGGAGGAAACCAGAATACCCAGAGAGAACCCATGCATGCTCAGGGAGAAGATACAAACTCTATGCAGAAAGACCCCGGGCCGGGAATTACACCCGGAACCTTTTTGCTGCAAGGCAGCAGTGATATCCACTGCGTCGATGAGCAGCCCCACATCAGTAACCAATTAGGTTAATTATTTTTGAAATTATGTGATCATTCCTGAGGAAATAAAAAAATAAAATAAACAATTGCAGAGACCCTTAAAATAGCAGGAGAGAAATGTTTAATAATGCTAGGGTCCCCGATAGCCAAAAGTAACTAAAGCACTGGCTCCAAACCAAATATATAAAAACTGACCAGGGCTTTTGTCTTTTTGCACAATGGACACGGACCTTTGCTGTAGCTTTACACCACAGTGTTTGTTAACTTAATCATTTTTTTCTTCTTACAGAGAGGTTTTCTGAAATATTCTATAAGGGATTTGTGAGCCCCAGACAGGGGTAACCCTTTTTTACAAAAACTTTCCCCTTACAAACTTGTTCAGCAACAGAAAAGTCTTACCTACATCATATAGGAGAACAGTTGGTGTGATTACTTTAAAACACACATGCAGGACAAGAATAACGTTTTCTATGACACTGGATTCTGTTCTATAACAATTTAGGTTAGTATTAGCCAGAAAATATAAATTGGGCTCCTTTTGGCATCAAGACAATTATTCTTATTGCCACCTTGCCAGACAGGACACTGTAAAAAAAAAAAAAAAAATAAAAAAATCTAATGATAAAATTCTAATGTTCCAGTGCATCAAAGGAACTTTTTCATTTTGTTTTCTGAATTTTATACTTTTTCATCTTTTTAGTAAAATGTTGTGTTTTCTGCCTTTTTTGATTCTGACTTTTAGCTTTCTTCTCTTTATTCAGCATCAACATTTGCAAACCATGAACTCTGTGGATTTGAGCCTTTTTTCACAAAGAGGGGCTTTTCTTAACAAACCTTTACAGTAGCAGGCATTTTTTTTACCAGCATAATGCATGAGAAAACTAAGTGTGATTACTTTAGAGCACACAAGCAAGAATAAGATTTTTAACAATAATTCCACTTTTTCACTATAAATGATTATTTCAAACATATGTACTGTAAAATCATATGTAAAAACTATCATACTTCAGAGGAGATGATTGTTAGGTTTATTCAATGATGATTATAAAGTTAATGTGAGTACATATGAAACATTGGAGAAATGAGATGCTTCACTCTGTTTACTGCAAACTGTCATGCAACGGTAGTGGAAAATTACTGATGTTTGTGCAAGGCTAATCACAGTTATCAGAAGACCACTCTGTTCTGTGATTCAATCAGAGGAGCATTCTGTCCTATGACCTGATCAATTGCCTTGTCAGAAGAACAGTCTATTTTATAACCCAACCCATGTGTTCTGATCTGCTAATAAAAAGGCTCTGCAGAGGAAGTCCGTCAGAGAGTAGTGAGTTGGGTGTAACTCTCTCCTTCTGCAGAAGCTGTTAAAGGCACACTATGCAACATTTTTCAGTTAATTAATGTGTTCCATAACGTTATGAATGATTAAATGAGTCATTTCAGGTTGAACAAAGGTTTTCTCGGCCGCCCTGGTGGTCTGTGGGGGAAATACTGCACTTGCAACTGCAGGAGCACCGACCCGCACCCACAGGCTCAGAAGTCTCGTGAGAGTCAGTCTTGCTTTACGGCGAGAACTGCTACATACCCCCAGTTAAAAGCATTCTCGTTGCTAGCACAGTGGCAATCTTTGTGCAGTTATGCTACGTTCACGCAGCAAAAGCAGCAAAATCGCGTCTGCTGCTTCATTTTTGCTGCTTGTACCAGTTAGTTCTGACGCGTGGCTGAAGCAGCTTTGCTGCTCTGGCTGCTGCAAAAGTGTGTCTGAGGCGCAT